TCCCCAACATCTCCCCATTCTTCTTCCCTGCCTTGGCCCTGGAAAGCAGCCTTCTCCTCTGCTTTTATGTGTTTGATTCTCGTAGACTCCACACGTAAGCGAGGACATGCGGTGTTTGTCTCAAGCCGGGCCCGTTTCACTCAGCAGAACAGCCTCCAGGTGCATCCACGTTGCCACAACTGGCAGGATGTCCCTTCTCACAGCTGGACCATATTCCGTTGTGTGTACGTAACACATTTTCTTTACCGGAGGCTGTTGCCCTGTCTCGGCTGCTGTGAGTTCTGCTTCCCAACCCGTGTGGTCCTAACCCACCGCACGACTCTGCCTCATGCTCTCAACTCCCAGTAGTGGCATCTGAAGCTCTCTTGTCCCCAGAAGGAGTCTGAACTCTGGCCTCTGCTGTCTCCACCCCTCATCTGCCCCATCCATCCCCCCTGCTGTCCCCAGGGCGTTCCTCTTTGCCTCCTCTGGCGGGAGCCATTCTTGCCTGTGCCTCCAGCACCTGTCCGTGCCAGCTCTGTCCCATCTTGGATTCGCTCCCTCTCTCAGGCCCTCATCTCACCTGGATTGTCACAGCCCCTCTAGCCTGGGCTCCTGTCCTGTGGCATCACCGCTCTGCACTCGTGGCAGCTACAGCAGGCGTCTGCTGCTATGTCTCTGCGGGGGCCTAGCCTCTTCCTGGGACCTGGTCCCCAGGTTCTTGCCCATCCTTCCCAACTGCCGGGGACCGCAGGAGCTCCCACTTGGTACCATGACAGCTCTCTGATGGGCCAGGGCTGGGCAACCGCCCCATTCTTTCCTGGGGTCTTAGAGCTGGGAGGGTGGGCTGCAAGATACAGAAGGTAGACACTTCCAGAAGGTCACCATGAGGGAAGTGATCTATACCAGGAGAAAATGAAGCAGAAACAGAGAAGGGGCATACGGCCACCCCAGGTGACCTGGAGGTGTGGTGCCTCCCTGTCTCCCCAACATGGGCTTTCCTGCCCTCCTCTGGTAGTTCTGTCCAGCCTTCCTGTCGGTTCCCTTCTTCCCAGAGCCACTTTGCACTGGGTTTCTTTCCTACATAATCAAAAGACAGGAGTCCTCCGGAAGCCTCAGGACCCCTCTCTCTCTGGCTCCTCCTTCCCAGGCTCCTCGTATCCCACCCTTCTCATCTTCCTGATCTTAGATTTTCAGTCCTGAGCCCTCCCAGGCTGACCCTTTCCAGGGGTCAGGCGGGAGGACACCCCGCCTGAACACCGCTCTCCCCTGAACCTCAAGGCCCGCCTGGCTTTCCCCAACCACCCCTGGTGCTGTGCCCCACACCCTCCACTCCCTGCCCCTGCCTCTGTGCAGGGGTCTATTCTCAGCATGGAGTCTAGGGATGCTGGCTTGCGCCCCTCATCTGTTCCCGGGTCTACCCCCGGGGGGGCAAGGAAAGCCCTCACCGCCCCAGTTTGGGGGCTTTCCTTGATCACTCTGCACCTGCGCTTGGCCTGCCACCCCCACCCCCACCCCCTGCCCAGACAGCACTGGGCCTCAGGGCCCAGGCCTGCAAACAGCCACAAGGCTGCTCCCTAAGGCTCTGTCCCCACAGGACACCCCCTCCTGCTTCACCTTCACGCCATCACCACCGCCTCTCGCACTAGTGACCCAGCTCCACCTGTGGACAGCAGCCCCATGAACAGAGCGTTGCAGCCACTCCCTGCTCCCTGCTAAGTAAAGGAGGGAGGGAACAGAGGCCTTCCCGGCACAGCCTTGGTTAGAAAACTTCAGTGGCTCTGCCTGGCCCTCAGACAGAGTGCAAACTCTCTGGCCCTCTCAGAGGGGCCATGGGATCTACCTTTCCAGCATCTTCTTGTGTGTCCTCTTAGCACTCTGACCTCACAGTTCCTGGTTAGGTAAGTAGCTTCGAGCCTCAGTTCCTTCACCCCAGTGGGGCCCAAGCACGGTCTTCTGGCTGCTGCGCGTTCAGGGCTAGGAATACACTCTCCAGCCTCAGGACTTTGCTAGAGCCTGTCCCCCTGTGACGCTATTTGCATCTCGGCTCCCTCCACCATGGCGACCTGACGTGGCCCCTTGAGGAAGACAGAGCCTTCCTGGCTCCTGTCTGGGCACAGTTTCTACTTCTGTCAAATGAAGCAGGGGTGGGCTGGGTGGCCATGGCCCCCGTGGCCCTAGTGTGGCTCAGGGTGACACCCACCTCTGCCCAAGCAAGTCCTGGCGGCCAAGTTGTGCCATGCTGACCAAGTTGGCTGGGCCTCACCAGGGCTCAGGGGGGCGCCTGGGCCGTAAGGACCGGGGTCCATTCTGAGTCCATGTTGCTCAAGAGGGAGCCCAGGGGCTCTGACCCACAGCCTCCCTGATGGGTGTTATTCCACAGGGGCTCTGCTCCGCCCTCTACCTCCAGGCTCTGCGGGAGGCCAACAGGAGACAGCCTCAGTGCAGAACACCAGTGCCCTTCCTCAGAGGGTGGGGCAGTATGAGGGGATGGGGACAAGGTTGAGGTGTCTTGCCCTTAGGCTCTGTTGGGTTGCCTAGGACAGGAAACACTCAGAAATCTTCTCATCCAAACACGAAACCACCAGACCCTCTCACCTATCTTCCCTTCAGGTCCCTGGTTGCGGGAGAAGGCTCTGGGGACAGGAACAGATAGGGGTGGTGGCCTCAGGGATATCTTGGGGGTGGTGAGATGGACACCTGGAAGGCTGGCTAAGGTGTTGGGAGAGAAAGGAATGGAAGGCAGGATGGTGGCGTGTCCTCCATTCCCTTCTGACACCTGGCCCAGGGCTTCCCGTGTGGGACAGAAGCAGCCATGCCATCTGTCCTCCGGAGCCCACGAGGTCCTCCTAAGAGGTACTGTACTGAATTTTTCTTTGAAGAGCATTCATTGCAACCCGATCAAATGGGCTTGTTAATACTGACCCCCAAGGAAAAGGCATGGAGGAACAAGGGCCAAGGTCTGGTTTCCACCTGGGTTTCCGGCAGTCCTTTGGGAAGCCAGCCTGTGGTTCCCTAGCTGGGTGGGGAAGGAGTGCAGGCCAGTGTCAGGCCAGCTGGGGAGAGAGCACAGCCCAGGGGCCCTTCATCTCTGTCCCCAGGTCCCCAGGGGTGGTGCAACTGGGGGGTGCTCAGGACGATGCCAGGCAGGTGACAAGGCCAAGTTAGGGCCACCAGGCACCCCTCTGCCCCTCCTTGGCTGGGAAGGCCAGGATGAGGGCCTTCCTCGTCTCTGGCAGGCCCAGGTCCCCTCTGTCCCCCTGCTCCTCAGTGCCACCAGGGTACAGGATTGGCACTGGAGGGTGAGCCACCAGCTTGAACCCAGGCCTGTGGACTGGGCTACTCAGAGCTCTGGCCTGGGACCTGAGGGAGGGAGTGTCGCAGGACCCCTGCCGCCCCTCCTGAGGCCAGCAGGCAGAGGAGCTGGTGGGGGCAGGGCAGACAGTCACTTTCGGCTGGGTGATGGGTGAGCTTCGCTGTCTTGCATACTAATTACATTTCTAATCATCCAGAACGAGGCACGGGCATCGGTCTGACATGTGGCCAGCTCTGTGAATCATCCTGGAACTGACAGGAAGGTTCTGGAGGGTGGTGACCCCAGCTCAGCTGCAAGGGGTGCCGCCTGAGCCAGGTCCCTTGTCCTGGGCCCAAGTGGCACCCTGCTGCCCAGGCCTCCCCACAGTGCCCCACACACCAGACAGCAATTCACACTTGATTTTATTCCATGACACTGATTTGCTGAAAGTCCCCGGTTTCCTGGGCAGGGGAAGGCAGTGGGTGGCCTGGCAGAAGGTGGGGCCGGCCTTCCCAGGAGGACCAGGTCCCGTTCTGCTCGGGGGAAGCATGAGCCAGGCCTCAGCCTTCCATCCAGTCCCACCCTCTCCCTTCCAGTTTGTTTAAAAACTGAGCTGCAAAAATAAAATAGAATGAGGAAATAAAAACAAAGCCCTGAGTTGTTAAAAACCAAATTAAAAATCCCCTTTGGTGTTGAAAGGTCCTATTCCTAAAAGTCGGCGGGTGGGGCAGGGGTGTGGGTGGGTGTGGGCTGCGCAGGAGGCCTCAGGCCCGCAGGCCACCAGCGACACCAGCATCTGGCTGCTCCTCATCCTGCCGGCTCAGGAGGCCCTCGGTGCCTGGCCGCTTGAGGACGGCGCTGTACTTGAGGGCAGTGGTCTCGGCCTGCAGTACCACCTCGACCAGGCTGAAGATGGTGACGACCTGTGGCACAGCAGAGCCCAGCTTGGTGACACAAGTGCGTCATGGGGGGCCAGACCGGGGGTGGGGAGGGTGGGGTGGGTGGGTGGGAGGGGCAAGAGCTTGTGGCTGGGGTCCAGCCCTGCTCCTGTCCTCTTAGCTGGGCCCCAGGTCCACTCGCCCTCCCCTCTGGGCCTCTGTCTGCAAAGCAAGTACTGAGGTCATGGCCCTGGAGAGAAGTCAGGGAGCCAGACATGGCTGGGTGTGTCTTCTGGTCACAGTGAGTGCCTGGGCTTTGGGAACAAAGAACTGGGGTCTGGGGCTGGCCTTCAGAGCGTGCAGTGGGTAAAAACCATTGTATGCAACTTCTTGGGTAGGAGATCCACAGTTTTCATTAGATTCCCAAAAGGATCCCCAAAGTCAAAACTCTGCTTTAGAGGGGTAGGCAGAGCCCCTTGTCTGTCCCCATGCTGGGGGCGGGGTGCGGGGAGTGGGGGAGGTGGCCCAGGGCAGGGAAGGCAGTACGGGAAAGCTCTGGCCCCAAGGAGGGGATATGGGTGAGCTCAATGATGTCTACACATAGAGCCTGAAATCCCACAGGGGAGCCTAAGTGCTGGGGTGTGGGGAGGGGTGGGAGGAGGGCTCAGGAAGAGCTAGAGGGCAGATGGTCACACCGTGGTTTTTTGAAAAGGCTGCCCCACTCCCGGGTTCTGACCTGCTGTACTGGCTCCTGGTCCGTGTCCTCAGGCTCCCAGACAAGTATGAGCTCCGGCTTCTTGCCCACCTTTTGGAAGTGGTAGGACCGCAAGGGCAGTGCCTGGAGGTCCACATACCTGCGTCTCAGGTTCTAAGCTCTGGGAGCCACCTCCTAACCTCTGACCCTGGAACCCTCCCCCTCCACCCCCCCTGGTTGGAGGCAGCCCCCTGCCTTTGCCTGCCTCCCACTGGCCTAGAACTGCCCCAAGTGCTGAATGGCAGGGGCTCAGGCACCTAAGGCTAGAGGGGTGCTGACCCCTGCGGGCGCCGGGTCTGTTAGCATAGGCTGAGGGCTGGCCTGTCTGCAGCCCTGTCTGATGACCGACACCTGAACTTCCTTCCTGCTTGGTGAACTTGAGGACTGGAGCCCTGACGGATCCCCAGTGGGACTCCATTCTGTCTCTTCTGATTTACTGTATTAACTTCATGCTTGCTCCGCTCTGTGTGCTGGATTTCAGGAAATTCAAAGCCAGAGTCAGGGCACAGGGGGTGACCCACTAACCGCAAGGGTACCAAATACCCTTGGGAAGAACCTTGAATAAACAGCCACACAGGGCAGGACCCAAGGCAAATAGTGGTCTCTTCTGTCTCTTCAGGGGACAGAGCTTCCAGAGTGGCCACGGATCATTCTCTCTGATCTTTCCTCCCTTCACATTCCCACAAGGAATTCCCCAAAGCTTGTGCGCTCTGCCATCCTGCACTGGTCTGGGAGGGGCCTGTTCCCTTGAGCCTGACTCCTGGCCCGGATTTCTCATCCCAGGCAGGTGTAGCGGGGTGTCCCAGTGCGGCCCATCAGGTGGGCTTGGTGCTGGTGGTGGAGGGCAGCAAGGTCAGGGACGGCACGCCCTCTGCCTCCACATGGCCAGTGTCACCACCACAGCTTGTATTCTCCAGAGCCAGTGAGGACAGCAAGGACCCCGGCCTATGCTCCCATCCTCCATGCTTCCCGCCAGATGCCGGGCAAATACGGAGGGGACCCCGGCAGAAAGCTGGGGGACATGCAGGTGTGCAGCGGACACAGCTTGGTGTGTCCGTGAGGGGAGGGAGGGCTTTGCACAGAAGTGGTGGGGTCCCAGCATCCTGGAGCTGGCCTTGCCCCAAGGGCCCGTGGGGACTCACATTACAGTAGATTCGCTTCTGCACGCCGTAGCGCAGCACCAGCACGTCGAAGGCTTGGTTCAGGACACCAAGCACCATGGCTTCCGACTCCAGGGGGCCGCTTTCCTGCAAGGCAGGGCTCTAGCCAAGGTTCAGCCACGGGACGTGGCATCACACCCAGGGCCATCCCCGGCTGCCGAAGGCCCCTGAGCTCCTTAAGAGCTCCTTGTGCACTGGTGCCCAGGAGGGGGCGGTGGGGTTGGGGTTGGGGGGCACTGGGCTGGCGGCCTCACCTTAACCAGGATGGCAAAGAAGAGGCCGGTGCTGAGCTCCTGGACACGCTTGGAGGCCATGCGGCGGTCATTGCAGTGGTCGGCCTGCTTCTGCAGGGCCTCAGGCTCCAGGTCGGGCAGCTCCCCACAGCCTGGGAAGAGGGCGGTTGCGGGGCTGCTGGCAGGGTGCTGTGCATGCGCCGGCCACAGCTGGGTGAGGGGTGGCACGGTGCTCCCTGCCCAGGCGAGGTGGCACTGGCCTCCCCTGCTGCCCGGCTCCGGGGGATGGGAAGGTGGGCGGCCACAGTGAGGGCCCCTGGCTTTGCACAGGACTTGTAATGAGCGACTGCTGCTGACCCCCCGTGAGCTTTCGTGGGGGTGGGGGGTTTCTGGGCCCAGGCTCTCCCACTGCCCGGCTGACCACCCCCTGGGGCTTCCACGGCCATGCAGTGTGGCTTCTGGCTGCCAGGCGCCCACTCGGAGCTGCGGCAGCCCTCCAGCAGGCACAGGCTGTGTGACTCCCCGGCCATGCCTCTTACCAAGTGCGGCAGCCAGGAGGCGGTGCACCAGGACGTCTGCGAAGCGGCGGATGGGGGAGGTGAAGTGGGTGTAGAGCGGCACGTTGAGGGCGTAGTGCCGGAATTGCGTCTGGTCCTGCAGCACCCCGGAGCAGAAGTACAGGGCCATCTGTGGGGCGAGAGAAGGGGTCTGAGAGCCGGGCTGGCCCCAGGGATTTTGGGAGCACACGGAGCCGCCAGGCTGCTGGCAGCTGACCGCAGGCCGTTCCCTGTATGGGGACCCACAGGGCGCCCATGCCCCCGCCACTGAAGACAAACACAGGTCTTGCCCTGGGTTGTGCAGACCCCTCGTGGCAGCGGCATGGAGAATAGGCCAGAGAGCACTACAAGGGGCCCACCCCACCTCTGTGGGCACAGGAAGTGCGGGGGAAACCTTGAGATGCCAGATGGCCTCCTCCCTCAGAGCCCCAGGCCCAGTGGGGGTTGTGGGGTGGTGGGGGGTAGGGGGAGCAGACCCTGAGCTGAAATCTGAGGGCAGCTGGGGTGGAGCTTGGCTTCCCCCTCAGCCTGTTGCTGTTGGTTCAGGGGCAGTTACTGCCCTTGACAAGCAGGGAGCGGTTTCTGGTCAGCTCCACGGGAAGGGGAGGAGGGGAGGAGGCCTGGGGCTGGCCGGACAAGGGGCCGCAGACACGCTGTGGAGGCACAAGAGGAAGCCAGGACAGCCACAGGGCTCTGCGAGGCCGCAGAGGCCGCCACCGCCACCTGGCCAGAACGGCACGTAGGAGAGAAGGCCTGGGATGCCTGGTACGGGCCTACAGGGACGTGGGCAGTGGGCACCCAGCTCCTTCCCTGTGGTCCAGGCCTAGTCTTTAGTGGTGACCAACCTCACGCCCTCCAGCCCCTATCCCTGAAGGCCACGCTGGGACCCTGGCGCCTCTGCGCCCCCTACAGGCAGCCACACGCCTGCCAAGGGAGAGAGAGGCTTGCCAGCTGCCAACCTCAGCCCTTGTCCCTGACAAGCCATCTGGGCACCAAGGTCTGAGTTCAAGAGGCCTTTCTGCAGGGGGCAGTGAGGATGGGGTACACGAAGAGAGGCCAAGTTTCTCTAGGGACCCAACAAATGGTTCCAGGCCATGGTGGTTCTGCTGTGTGGGTGGCCTGGCCACAGTGCCTGCAGCCACTTGCCCTGTGGTCCTGGAGGTCTTGGGGCTGCAACCCCAGGATGCCGCGAGGAGCAAGTGGACAGATCCCTCACTGAGGCCCAAGTCACGCCCTTGTCTGTTCCCTCGCTCCCTTGCTGCCTGTGCGCTTGGCCAAACGGAGAGCCGGCTCCGCTTACTCTGTGTGTGTCGGGCCTAGAATCCAGGGCACAGCTGGTGACGACCTGCTCAGCTCCCCGAGTCTGCCTCCCTGCCAGCTCCTGCTGGGGCCGGGGTCATGTCCGGAGCAAGTCACTGGGGGAGGTGGGAGCAGCCGCCACGCCAAGCCACGTCTGGGTGTTGTTCTCAGTGGTGGTGGCCCAGTTCCCCAAACGAGCTGGGCTGAGCAGCACAGAGGCCCTGGTCCCCTTCCTGGCTGGGAAGGTGTCTCTGGGCAGGTTGGGACGGGTGGAGACTGTGGCTTTCCTGGGACAGGAAAGTCCCAGGTGTCCTGTTTCAGCGGCTTCCTTAAGAAATTGCTGCTGCCGCTGCCGGGTCCCTGTCCTTGTCCTAGTTCTTAGGGACACCACAGGCACTCCAGGACCCTTTGCCATCAGTTCCCCATACAAAGGCCAGCCTTGAAGGTCACTCACTGGCAGGAAAGCCCAGAAGTCCACTCTTTTTCAGGCTCTAGGTGACTCAGGAGAGGAGGGCTCCTTTCCACAGAGCTCCAGAGCTAGTTTGACTTTGGAAGTGGACAGTTCCAGACACTTCCAGAGGCTGGAGGCAGGGAACAGGAGCCCGACTGGCCCTGCCTGGCACAGTCAACAGGCAGTTCCTGGGACCCTGGGGCAACTACATCTCAGAGCAACTAGAGCGCAGAGTGACATCGAGTCCCCTCGCCACAGGCACACCTGCCCCTCTGTGTGGCATGCTTTAAAGGTGCTTGGTTGGGGGAGACGCTTGTGACCGGGGACAGGGTAAAGGCAGCCAGACCCAAAAGGGCCCCAGTGGCTCCATTCCTAGCAGGAAATATGAATGTCAGGAAATAGATTGGCTGTGGCCAGCTGAGGTGACCTGGTTCTTGTGGACTGATTGAATCCGCAGAGTGACTGAGCCCCTGAAAAATGGTCTGTCATTGCCCCCTGGCCAGGATGGAGCCCAGAGCTGGCCCCATTAGTATGCGCAGCTCCGGCTGGCCTCACAGGCCTGGGGGGCGGGGGGCTCCTTCCCAAGATGCTTGGGCCTGCAGGGGCTGAAGCTCAGATTCAGGGGGCTGAGACAGGCTGCCGGAGCAAGTTCATTGTCTAGGCCCAGCCTGCCAGCCTGCCAGCCTGTCATACTGCCTGCGACATAGGCCCACTGCCTAACTCCCCTCCTACCAGCGAGGAAGAGGGAGATTCCTCTGCCTGGGGTCCACAGGGTGGGTGCGTGGTGGGGGGGTGATGACTTCCCCTCCAGGAAGGCTGCAATGGGAGACAATCTCTCCCCTCCAGGGTGTCCATCCAGCTCAGTTGCTAACTGGCCCCTGTTCCTTCCCTGAGCTGGTCTGGTCTGTAGGGACTGGGCACTAAAGGCTTGGTGTATGCCCTGTGATGACTCCCTGCCTTCAGTTAGGGAATGGAGCCCCTGAGGCCACGCAGGGGGCAGCGGGCCTCAAACTGGGCCCTTGAACGGCCCCACAGAAGCTTCCTTGAACAGGTAAGGCAGGCAAGTCTGTGTAGGAGGCTGATAATCAGAGCGCAGGGCTCACCTGTCCTAGCTAACGCCTGGGGCTATCCTCCTCACCCCTCCCCTGAGGCTGTCTGGCATGTGGAGGTCCTGGAGGCCCCTGGGAGAAGGGGCAGGTTGGGGGGGGAAGGTCTTTCCTTACCTGCATGGGCCGGGAACACATGTTGGTGAGTACCTCCTTCCGGGCCAGGGAGTACTTGTCATCTCCAAATGTTGTGGTCAGACTTTTCTAGAAGCAAACCGTGTGATGGGCAGTCAAGCTGGGCCAGGCTCTGGGGAACCCTGTCACCCTCTGAACACCTGAGACCCAGCTCTGGGGGTGGAAGGGTAAGCTGAGGGCTTGACCCCGCTCAGAGGGCCATGGTGGGGTGTGGAGGCCAGCAGCCTTCAGCCTGCGTCCCACGCTTGGCCGTGGCTCCAATGTCAGCTCTTCCATGTCTTGTTGGCTACATGGAGAGACTGTCTGTCTGACCTAAGGTACTTCTCTGCCCAGAGCAGAACAGCCACCCTTCCATGGGATCAAAGGTCAGGCCTGAGCCCCATAAGGCTTGGTTCTAGGAAGGGAGCACTTGACAGCACTTACCATAAAAAACATTCTTGGGCTTCCACTCCTCTCAGCCCCCTATGGAAAGTTTCTGGGCCCAAGCCCAGCCCAGTCCAGCCCCGGCCCAGGATCCCTACCCACGACGGAGTGTTGAGCGGCTTCCCTCGGCCTGGTCCTGGTGGGGAGTGTGGCCCATGGCCAGGGCGTCTGTGACTCGGAGGCCTCTCCCCAGGGCCTTCCCCTCTCTCGCACTCCCGGCACTCACATTGAGGGCCCCTGCAGAGCTGAAGTCCATGGGCAGCCCCAACTGCTCGCAGAATTCCACAAGGTCATTGAGCATCTTGGTCTGGGGCGGAGGATGCCGGCGCAGGAGGGCACGCTCAGGGAAGGTGCGGTGCGTCTTGTGGGCCACGGCCATGTTGGCCAGGAGCATAAACTCTTCCACGAGCCTGCGGGGGGTGGGGAGGTGGGGAACAGGTGTCAGGGGCCGCCGCTGCCCTTTCTTTCTCAAACTAGCTGCAGGCTGGCTCTCTTGTGCCAGAGATGCCCTCCTGCCACCCAGTCTCGTATCCCTGCTCATGCCCCTCTTGGCGCTAACCCGTCAGTAGCGCTCTTCCCTTCTGACATTTGAGCTTGCGCACCACCTCCCCCATGAGTCTGGGCAGAATGGCATCTGTCTTCTTTCCCGCTGTGGCCCTGTGCCTGGTACCCCAGTGCCCTGCCTGACAAAGAGAAGGTGCTGGATAAAGCTGTCTGCTGAACGACTCGCCTCCCAGGACACTCAGGGACGACCCCAGCGGTGAGAAAACAAGATGCCCAGGCCCAGCATCAGCACGCTTCTTGGGGGTGCAGAGAAGGTGGTCAGCAGACCCAGGGCTCCCTTCTCTCCTTGGGGAGAGGAGGGTTTCTGAGGATGAACAGGAGGGTCACAGACAGCAAGAGGAATCCGGCTTCCTGGGGCGACGTCAATGTGCTGTCGAGGTGTTCAAATCCCAGAGAGTTAACCTCTTAGGTTTGAACACTTGCTGCTACCCTTGAGCGTAATTAGAATCAAGAAGCAGGGACAGATACGGCTCCCGGTGAAGAGACAAAGGCACACCCAGGACCCAGGGAGAGGAGCAGGGACCAACGGGGAAGGAGAGGTGTGTGCCAAGATAGAGGAGTCAGGAAAAGGGGGAAGCTGGATCGCATAGCCAGCTTCGCATAGTCAGCACCCCCACCCCCCAAACCTGGGGCAGGAGGCCACGTGCTGCTTCCCCGACCCAGGGCTCTGGTGGGAGAGTGAGCAGAGCACTCACAGCAGGAGAGCAGAAGCGGCTGGAAAGGGGCTGTATGGGGCCAGCCTTGCCCAGTTCAGGGACCTCTCTCCCCAGCCTTTATTCTGGACCCCAAGGAGCACATCAAGCCCGTGCTTCTCCCACGGAACCAGAAGAGGTCAGGGAGTGAGCTCTTGTGGCCCTGGCGGCAAGTAGCCGGGGGATGAACTGCCTTTTCCTGGAGGTGTGCGTGTCGCTTTAGGGTTAGCCTTGCAACCTCGCTGAGCTCTTGGAGAGAAATGCAGCCTGTGACGGCGGCAGGGGAGGGGAGAGGGAGCTGACAGAGCCCCTTTTCCACAGCAGAAGTGAGGTTCTGGTTTGCCAAGCTGTCCTGAGAACACATCTGTCTTTCCCTGAAGCCCTCTCTACGAGGGACAAGGCTGAGGGAATGGCCCTCTGGTGGTAGCATCGGGGCCTTGGGAGAAGGCCAGCCTGAGCCTGGGCTCTAGTCCCTCATCTGAGGGTCTGACTTCGGACTGGACAGAGTTTGGGTGGAGGATGGCAAGGGTCAGACCTCCGTGGATGGGGAGTGTCTTTATCCCCTACTGTGTGCTCATAGTCACTGCAGTGACCATTCTGCCTCCCTGCCCCCCAGTCTGTCCTTGTGCACAGCCCTTCCTGCTGAGAAACCTGGGGTTCCGTCACCGGAACTGGCCACTGTTTCCTAAGTGGAGGTCTGAATCCTGGCTCCGTGTTCTTGCTGTAGGAACAGGCATGACTCTGAGACCTCTCCTGACCCTCCTTTCTCTCAAACGTATACTCGGAAGGCGGCCCCAGCCCACAGGGCGGTCCTGGAGACCAGTGCGAACATCACAGGTTATAAGGGCCTCCTGTCGTCAGCCTCACGACATAGGATATACTTTCTCTCTTCTACACTGTCACGCCAAATGGCCAGCCGTGGTGGTGGTGGTGGGGGGAGTCCCCAAGATGCCCTATGAGTTTCATTCCTGCCACTGATCACCCTTACCTGCCCTTCCCTTGCCTTCCTGAAGGCCCAGGCTGAAGGCTATGTCCATCTCTCCCCTGGGGCCCTACTGCCAACTCGCCCCCAGGCAACAAGAGCCAGGCTGTTTCACGGTCACCTGTGTCTCAGACTAGCGCTGCTGGACTTTTCATATTTCGATCTTGTCAACCCAACAGGATTCTCAGTTCCTACTCAATAAATGCCTGGTTTGGTTTAATGTCTGTTCTTGGTCATCATCAGAATGCTTCAGATGAGTACCTTCGTTCATGTCTGTCCACTCAATGAACATTACTGTGTGCCAGGCGGTTCGAGACCTGCCTCCCCCTGCAGTCCGAGAATGCTTTTGGGCAGGGTGTCTATGGTCTGTTCCTTGGGGCCCCGCAGTCTCCAGCCCAGGTGCAAGCTTGGGCCAGGAGGGAACACCTAGATAATCTTGGGACTGACCCTGTGCTGTTTTGCCAGTGTTGCCAGCAGGGGGCAGCATGGCCCCATAGCAGGGCTGCCGTCAGGCTGCAGGTGAGGGAGCGCTGGGCCTGCCAGAGGAGTGGGCTGGGCTGTGGCATTCCAGCTGTCCCTGCACGCAACTCCCACCCCTGGGGTCAAAGGAACTGAATGGTGGGGTGCCCCCCACCCCAGGGTGGAGCTGCGTTCCTGCTCCCAGTTCTTGCAGGTGCTCTGCCACCTCATCTCATGTTCTCAAGTAAGGTCGAGAACGGGAAGGAAGGGATGGGGAAGGTGGGGCTGATACCCAGAGCCCTAGGCAGTGACAACAGACTCCAGTCAGGCTGCTTCTCCATTATTTGTCCTCCCTGGACCTCCAGTACACTCCCACGAGCACCTGAAGTCAGTGGGAGAAAAGCCAGCATGCTCTGGTTAACCTTGAGAAGAAAGTCTGTCGAAGCTTGAGATGCAGAGGCTGACCTTGGACAGGTCCCTTGGTGCCTCCTGGGGGCTCCATTTCTCCCTGAGTGTCTCAGTCCCTCCCTCAGGACAGGGGGGCAGGAGGTGAGAACTCTCTCCTGTTGAACTCTCTCCAAGATAGTTTGCAGATATCAAGCATTCATCCCAGAAAAGCATCAATGTCACTGAACTGGGAGGTGGCGTAGCAATAAGGCTGACTCCCTGGGTGTTGCCACGGCTCATTAGTGTTCTAGGATAGCTGCGGGGACCATTTCTCCACAACCTGTCCTTAAAATCCTTCCTCTGCCAGCAGGGGGGATAGGAGTGGGTAGAGAGAACACGCAAACTGTGAACGGGAGGAAACGGGGCTTGGAGTACCGTGGCAGTTCGGTCCTAGGGCGGGGGTGCTGGGAGGGGCGGAGCGCGGTTGGAGCAGGGTGCCCAGTCAAGTGAACAGGAAGGCCAAGGAAATGCCAAGCGGCTAGCCCCCAGATTCCCCTGAGTTCAGGATTCACTGTCAAAAGCGGGGCCAGGTACCGCAGAGGGAGAACTGGGCTGGGCGGCAGTGGGGGTGAGGCAGAAGGGTGTCTCTGCTCTCATCTGAGGCCCGCAAAGGCCCCCTTCACCAGGCTCAACAGGTTCCCCCCCAGGGGTCAGTTCCATGGATGGGCCAGAAGGGGGCCCCCCAGCCTCTTTCTTCCGCAGGACCTGGGACGTGGCAGGAGCTGCTTAGAACCCAGGAACTTGTGGGCAGGAAAGAGCCTTGGTTTAGAAACTGCAGTCCTGCGGCCCAAGGTCCAGGGGTCTCTGGGGTCCCATTCCGTGTTTTTCTCCTCAGCCAAAGGGGGAAAGGCAGGGCGATTAGAAGAGGAGCCTGAACAGCTGACTTGTCAGCAAACACCCCTTCCCCCCAATTTCCTTCCCCGTTGGGGGCCTGCGCTGACTGTAGAGGCCCCGAGCCAAGTGGCTGGGTCACTAGGATGCGCCCCTGACAGCAAACATCACGCGTCAGAGGCCGGGTGGTGGGGATAGAGGACCCCGTTCCTGGATCTGGGTACCTGATCTGGCCAGAGCCCATCTCCTCCACCTGCCATGGCACAGGCATGAGATCACAGTGCCCCACTCGCTGGGGGAGGGCGAAGAGGCTGGAAGTCAGCAACTGCCTGACAACTGCTCTACACGGGGGCTTAGGAATGGCCACCAGCCAGGATCCCCTTCCAGAACAGCAAGCCAAGCCCTTGGAGGTGGGGCCTCAGTCCCGGTCCTGGCATCTGCCCAGCATCTGGAGCCCAGAGCCACTGGGGGCCCACAACTCTGGAGGTCTTGGGGGTGTATGTGGGGTGCCTGTGACAGCCAGCTGGGGGCCTTGCCAGGACGTGAGCCCATCAGCACTCATTCCCGGCATCCCACCTGCTTGGGCTCTGGGCTTGCAGGTGCTGGGGCGGGGAGAGCAGGGCAGGTGTGAGGCTTCTCATCCCAGGAAGGAGCAGAGCAAGCCCGGAGCTGTAGGAGTCCCTCGCCCACTCGGGCAGACGCCAGGTAAAGGCCATAGACAACCTCCTCACAAGCACACACCTCCTCACACAGCAAAGACGACTTTGGTCCGGAATGGTGTTTCCCCAAGTGTGTTAACGTTACTTAGAGAAAAAAGTATAAATATCTATGAAATGCTAGGGGACAATTCCAGTTGAGGTTTTTATTCCAGGAGGCTAATGCACCTCAGGATGACAGAAGCTCCAGGCTGTGGCCCTTACTGCTCACTGACCCCTGAACTTGGGTCCCAGCAGGAAGGACGAGGTCTGGGAGAAGGCGCTCTGCCTGGCGGGGGTCACACAGTGGCTACAGGGGCAATGGGCTGGGACAGCTGTCCTTTTCGAGGAAGGCTGCCCATTCTCGACTGTCGTTGTTGGAGGAACTGACAGAATGTTCTTCCGTTGGTCTGGGAGACCGCGGCTCTGTTTTGTTAATGAGGGGCCTGAGGGGGTGTCTGTGGCCAACAAGCCCCTTGGGTGGGACAGGGGGAGGGTGGTGTCCCAGGCTGAAGCTCCTGCTCGTCACCTCTCCTGCGTCCCGCTTCTCTCCTTGGTCCAAGGCGCACGGACCAGGCCGTGTGGAGGGGAGAGGCTAGTGGTCAGTCGCAGGCCTGGAGTTCCCGCTCTGCCCCTCACTAGCTGTGCGACTGCAGACACAATTTTAAACCTCTCTGAATCTCAACCGATCTACCTGAAAAATAGAGGTGCGATATACAATCTCCTGGCCTCCCTGAAGA